AAGCATTAACTTACTAACCATTGAATGACGCGATCTTTGTTTTTAAAAATTGGAAAACGCATATTAGGTGTTCAGTCCATATGCAAGTACTTTTGATTAATGCTTTCATCATTCTCAGGCATGGATATTTTTTTCAATTTCAGGTAATTTCAGGTAACTTCCGAGAAGAAAATGTAATTCAGGTCGAAAGATTTTTTTAAAGTGTGTTATTATTATAACAGTTACAAAATTTTGGATCGTGCAAAGTAGCGACGCTAGAGTTTTATTTTTAATATTGTAATTGTGATATAAAAGGCATAAAAAGGGTTCGTTCAGAGATCTGCAAGTTCTGGATTTTATGAGGATTTTTCATTTAACCTTAGGTGTTTTGTTTTCTTACTTCATTTTCCCATATATTTAGAAAGTGAAGTAATATTTCCACTTGCTTGCATTAGTAAAAGAGGACATGTGGTTATATATATCGATCCTTAAACGCGTTCCTAGTGGACACAGCATACAATTTAATATTATTGGGGTTTTCAATTGATGAGATGGAACACACATATACAATGGATTTCGTTAGGTACTTGTTTGTTAATGAACATTGATCGGAAATTCTACCGTTACAAAGTTCGGTTACCTGGGGTATACTAGAATTTGTGTTTGGGTTGCATTTATTGTCTTTATAAAGTTTCAGTATTATATTGTTGTGTAATTTAATAATTTTTTTCTAGATTTCTGGTAATACTATAACTGATTTTGAGGGTATTACGGTTGAAGATTTGAATTTACTTTCTACCCTTAGGAAAATGCTTGTTAATCACATTTAAAAATTTGTGTCCCAATTTGGTAATTTATTGAAGGGGAGGTGTGTACCAAATTGTTTTCCACCTTCAAATCTTCTTTCTAGATTTTCTATAGTTTTTAACATATTTAATTTCGGAAGATCAATAGTCAGTGTCAGTAAGGATTTTGTATAAAAAAAATTGTGTTTATGGAATAATTCTTTATTAGAGGAATGTTGGTTGATATGACGTTCAACGGATGATGGGATATGCTTAATAACCGACGCTGGGTGATTGTAATTAGGATTTATATAAATGGAGCTAGGATTATTTTTCAAGAAGGTTTAGAAATTCTTAAGAGCTAAGTTTAAGGTTATATCTAAGAAATACATTTAAACACTTTATTAATCAATTTTCTCAACTTATCTACCTTACTCCTAGAAGAATTATTTACTATCATTGGACCATCATCTCTGTAAAGCCCTATATCATTTAAGTTAATTTTATCATATGCAGTAAGATTGTACAAAATAAATAGCCTGACTAAATCGGAAGAATCATCAGATTCCAATGATCCCATAGATACATCAAAATTTTCATCCGAATTCTTTATTCACTGTTCGTGAATTGTGGATTATTATTGATTTTCTGCAATTTAGGATGATGCCGATTAGAAATATCGGAATAAAATTCAGCAAACTCCAAAGTCAGTTCAAAAAGGTTTTTGGATATGGATGGATAGAAGTCCACAATGTCGAATTGGATGAAAGGGCAGTTGTTTTTGTTGTTATGGTCGTTAAATCAGTCACTTCTTTAGTGCTCGCCCATTGAATGAGAACGAGTTGGTTTTTAATCTGCTTCTTAATCCTTCTAGGATTGCTTTTCTGATTCTTCTAATTTCAAACTTAGTTGGGTTGATAATCCTTGTAGGTAGTTTACTCGGGAAATCGGGTTTATGGTCTTTAGGTAGAACGTAAGTTTCTTTAGTCGAAAGTTTGAAAACGCTATTGCTGATTTTTATCATCTCCTCAAAATGCAAAAGAATATTGTTTAAAATCCCCATAATTCCAATAGACTTCCCCTTTGAAATCCAGCGACGCCAATTATCAGTGACCGTCGATAAAGGCGAAAAAGTAATCTCTTTGAGATAGCTTACCTTTATCTGGCTTCTCTATAGTTTATTAAAGGCCAATTTTTGTTGGCTGCTCTGAGGAAACAAGGATTCCATTCTAGTACCTAATTGGTGTAGCACTTATATTGTATAAGGACTGTTTTATTTGTTTTGTTTTTGTTACCAGACTATACAAGAATAGTTACAATAATAGTTACTTCATGTCAGTTTCATCTGCCTGCTTCCTTGTGTTGTGTGAGGGCAAATTTGAGGGGCCTCATACTAAACATCTGAATTAGAAAGATAAGCAAAAAGTATTTCCTTTCCCAGAAGGGGAGTTTACTCGCGCGAGATGACAAAGGGGATTTTATATCTTCTAGAGAATGCCTTCACTATAGCTAAGGAATATCATCAACTTTATATTTATTAAATGTATTAAATGGATTGCCTTATCAAGATGACGTGTTCGATCTACCCGATGAAGATTTCCAGATTCTGGTAGAGGCTATATTCAGGGGCCTCGCCATGAAATCAGAGAATGGATCGATGGCGCCGGATTGATGCGAGAGTAGTGATCAAAGGATCAATGCAGTAGGGTTAGATTGGTCTGTTAATTGCGACCAAAGTCATATAAATACAAATACTAAAACTCAAGTTCTTTGGGGAGAACTTCGGAGGGTAAATTTGGAATACTTTATTTTGGCAAAAGTAGAGGAATATAGTTTAAAAAAAAAACTTAACCAAATTAATTCATTTTTTAGTGTTCAATACGGAGTCGTTTAAATTCATTGGTGATACGCTTAGAGTGCCTTAGAGGACTTTTTTGGGTGGGGAGACTTTTTAGTGTTTGGGCTAGGGAAGTTACAGGTTCCTGGTTCGGCCACTTTTTGTTGAATCACTGGACACTGTGATAGATTATTGGTATCTTATTTCAATTCGTATAGGGCTATTTGAGATTATTCTACCTGCTTCAGGTTCAGATATTGTCGTCCCCCCAGAAGGAGTGAGGTAATGTAGAGAAACAGTAATTTATTTTCCATTCGGTAACCTCACAAGAACATGATCGGGATTCGCCTGAATCAGCTCAACTTCTTTTACAGTATTTTCGTGATTGTTACTCTGAACGTAGTTCCTCATCAGCATTTTCCCAGGAAGCATCAATCCCGAAGGAAAGGATCTTCTGGGGTTAGATTTTCTCAGATAAGAAAACATCCATTCAGAAGTGTGCAATACGAGTGGAGAGAGTCACATAAAACGGGTTTCCATTGATGTACAGATAAACCTCTCAAATTTAACGCTAAGTTGATCATCCTCTACAGAGTTTCATTCAGTCTCTCCAGTTGACCCGTTTGGCAGTAGATATACTAGTAGCTATTCCTTTCTGTTGACAAAATGTTCTTAACTCCTCCAGCATAAAAATATGTCGCCTATCAGAGTGTATATATTTTGGCATACCAAATACGCAAAATAATTTACGTAAGTCAGTACATTTGTAGTGAGCTGGTCTCTACACGCAAAAGCGAAATGGAAACGATTATATTCATCATTGATAGTCCTCTGTTTGAAAGAAGCATTCCCTTGAAATCTATTTTCAGTCTTTTGAAGGGTTGAATTGCTTTGATTAATTTGCCTTCTCCTCTCACAAATCTTGACTTTTCTACGGCATCACAATAGCCTCCTCTTTGTAAACTTGAGCGGTAATATCTTTGAATTTACAATCCTTCGCCAGAATGTCAACGCTAGAAGTTATTGATCCAAGGTTTCTTCAGGCTGTTGAGTTCTGGTTGCAAGTACATGTCTGACATATATCTCACTTTTTTTCCTGAACAAAAGCTCTCTTTAGAATGTTAATAGCTTCTTCAAAGTTTTTACATTCACTGAACACTTCGTATACACCAGACAAGACGTAATTCATAAGAATATTCAACTCCTCACCGTCAATATGCTTGAGAAATTTTTAAAATGTTCGGTACAAATGAATCCATATTTTCTCTGCACCGAAGGCGGAGTAATTCTATCTAGATCCAGTTTTTCAAGTTTTTGTACCTCCTGTCCATGTTGCTATTAGAAGCAAAAAATTAGTAGTGAACAGAATCATGTAAACTATAAACGGCTAGCAGTATTACTAATATCTCTGTGTTAGTTTAGTCTTCAAAATCAGGAATAGTTTAGCCTCCAGCACTATCAGCTGCTATTTGTATGTATATAAATACAATATATATATATATATATATATATATATATATATATATATATATAAGTGAACATAGAAGTCAACACTTAGAGGCGACAGTCTGTTTCATGATATATGCAATCGTCAGGCCACGTGTGCTGTTATTTTTCTCGGCTATTTATATATATATACGGATCAGTGGTGCATTGTGGGTAGTCTATTAAGGCGGTTATTTTACCAGAAGTCGTTTATTTATTTATTTGGGTTAAATTATTTTGCTTGTTTTTATTTATTTTTATTTTTTGTTTCTTATTATATTAATTTATTTATTTATTTACTAATTTATTTTTTTTAATCGGTGTTTTTATTAACGTAGTAAAAATTTGTTTATATCACTTATTTAATAGTTTTGTTTTGGTTCGAGAATTTAATTAAAGCTATTTGTTCCGTTTTGGGGTTGATTGTTGTAGTTTATTCTAACTAATTATTTTGGCAGGAACAGTTTTTAATTTGTGTTTATTTGGGTTGATTATCTTTATTTGTTTTTTCTATCGGTAACTTTATCTGGATTGGTTAGTTTATTTATTTACTTGGATGAGTTTAGGTCAATTTATTTTACTTGTATATTTTCTCTTTTCGGTTTTCGATTTTTAAGTAACGTAGTATTTATATATATATATATATATATTATCTTTATATATATATATCTTATATATATATATTATTTTATATATATATCTTATACATATATATCTTATATATATATCTATATCTTATATATATATCTTTATATATATATATATATATATATATATATATATATATATTTAAATGGAAAATAAAAAACAGTGATTGCAAATCACATACGTGTACCACCAGAAAAGAACCTTTATAGCAATGTGTGTATATATATATATATATATATATATATATATATATATATATATATATATTAGATAGATAGATAGATAGATAGATAGATAGATAGATAGATACTTGAGAGAGACTAATATCTATCAATAGAATTAAATGAATCCTGACTGGCAAAACCTTGCCAACTTTATCGAAACTAATTGTCTGCCTTTGATCGAGAAAAACCAATCGATGATGATTTCTAAGTATAGAAATTCTCTCTTTGTCTATTTTCTACACATTCAGATAAATCGAAGGGGTGCGTTAAAGAATATTGTCTCACAGACTTTCTGCTTCTTATGTGAATGCATACATAAATGAATATTGCTTCATGTATCAATATATACTTTTGAGTTTGATAAATTATCCATTATCAATTTTACCTTTTTTTCTTTCTTGCTTGCTTTTATTACCTTTTTATTGTTTTCTCTCTTTCGGTTTCTCTTTCTTGTACTTTCATGGACTGTTCGTTCGTTTTTTAATATTTTTATGTTTCACACACGTTTTTTTGACGTTTATAGATTTGCCAGAATTTTTTTTCTTCTCTTAATTCCGTAAATATTGAGAAAAAGCTTATTTACTATCGGACGAAGATTGTATTCTCTTGTAATTTTCTCATTTGTCTTTCTCTCTCTATGTCTCCCTTTCTTTCTTTCTTTTTTTCTTTCGATAAGATCTTCACTATAAATTGAGCATTCTGGTAACCAGTAATGCTTATGTGTTAAAATTTCTCTTTCTTCCTAGAAGTGCCTATTTGACTGTTTTCAATCCCGGCTTGAATGAATCGCGTGTCTAGTCACACTGATGAGGTGTAACACTGAGGTCAACGCCAGCGACAGTCTGTTTCATGCTTGAATACAATTTCCATGTCACGTGTGTTGTTGTCTATTGGCTCGAATATATACTGGCCAATAGTGCACTATGGGTAGCAAGATATATTTTATTTGGCGATAATGGTAATATTTCAAATTAATATAGAGACAATTGATTAGAAATAATTGTAGATATTAATGCGGTTATTTTTATATATTTTATATTGTTTTTATTTAAATATCTTACTTATTATTTACTTAATTTGTCCATTTTTTATTTGTTGTTGTTATTATTATTATTATTATTATTATTATTATTATTATCTGGGATTGATTATCTTATTTATTTAGTTTCAATTATTGGCTTTGCCTAAAGTATTTTATATATAATGTGTTATATATATATATATATATATATATATATATATATATATATATATATATATTTACCGGCGTCCTTTAAAAGGGCTCTGGTTAAATGAATTATCATAATGGAACCTTAAAGTGGTCTGTTTTTTTTTTAATATATATATATATATATATATATATATATATATATATATATATATATATATATATATATATTTGTATTTTCATAATGATATTTTACATGTTATTTGTTTTTAGTTTTCAATTTTAACTAACGTAGTAAAAAATGTTTTCGTCTCTACATTTTGCGATGAGGTCTTATCGTTTATTTAGTAATTTGTGTTGGTCTGGGGAAGGTTTTTCTTGGTTATATATATATATATATATATATATATATATATATATATATATATATATATATATATATAATATCATTGAATGCTAGTGCTAATAAAATAAAGTAAGGCTCAATATATAATAACAGAGTTATAATTTTTATTAATAATAAATACAATCTGGAAAATGCAAAAATTGAACGTTGTACATACAATAATTGAAACAAAACTGTTTGGAAATCGATCTCAAGAAGAAAATAAATACTATCGAACTGTATAGATTAATTAGAAAGTTTAAAAGTATTTGATGTTCATACTGTATGTTAAGATGTTGTGAGTTTCCCGTGTGTCGGTGTATGAATCAAGACAAACACAGTTGTAGAGGAAAATACTGGTATATTCATAAAAGCAATTAACAATAGAGTGATTAGTAGAACGAAGGTTGGTTAGTACGAAACAATATCCAAAGTCTATAGCCCAACGGTATGTACCGGGTAAGCTTATCTGGACTGCTGACTCTCTCCCCAGAGCTGACTTATATAAGAGGGACCAGTCCATTACTAGTTAGAAGGTGGGTGCGCCCCAACACTGTACAAGGCCTGATAGCCATTTGAGGTAGAGTCTTACAGGTGATGATGAACAGCTTATGCGGACATGTGTGGAAAATAACGGTTACCCCTAAATTGAACCGGTTACAATTGTAGATATCGGTGAATCATCCTCTTGGGACTCAGTTCAAGAAAGCAGCAGTTCAAAGGGAACTCAATATATTAACAACAGCATTTAACTACTACACCACCCATATGCATTAATTATTATGATCTTTATTATCGCCATTGATATTGAATTGATTTCTCTAGTAATACATGGGCTTTATTTATATACATTCCCCTGTAATTGGGACCTGCGTGTAACGTAACAGTCATCGGAAAACCGATTTTAAATGCCAACATACTATGTTGCTTTCACTTTCAGACGAATGGGAAAGTTATGAATTCATATTTCTTCCCTCCCACCGTCAGCTATATCAGGGTAGACTAGGCTCTCTAAAATTAGTCAAAAGACAGATCTTTGATGGATTGATTTGTTTGTACAGCTCATCAAACTTTTGCAGGATATTTTAAACCGGAAAATATTTTTGAATTGTAAGATTTGTTTTAAAGATAATTATGATTTACTGATACAAATTCTACTTATTAACCCATAGTTTGGGGGGAAGAGGTGGTGTCATAATTTTCCCAACGGTATTTGCGCGTAAGTGAATATAACGAATCCGATTTCTATTTTAGAGCTCCATTCGCACACCCAAGCTTACAGCCCCTGGTATTCCCAAGTGGTCACCTCTATAAGTACTGGCCAGCCTCTCGTTGCTTAACTTCGGTGATCATACGAGAACTGGTGTTTCCTCCTGATGTGATCATAAGCAGATCCTAGAGAACTACAATTTTGAATTCAAAACTGTGAAGAAGAGAAGGTAATATTTTCCAAGAAGTCATGGCAGTTTAGAAATAATAAAGAAAATAAATATTTGGAAGAAAGAATTGATTTACATTAAGGACATCTCATGAAAAAAAAAAAAAGATTTCAAATTAAATAAAAATAAAAATTAAGAAAGGAGGAACATTTCCTTTTTTTAAAGTTAATCTTGTTTAAATTTGCAAGTGATCAGAAAAACCGCGTCCTTGAAAATAATAATTTGAAAATTCCTGTCGGAACATATCGCAAAAGGTTGACTTAAATAATTCACAAGAAATGGATTTCTAGAGAAATAAATTCGTTTAAATAAACTTTTAAGAAATATTTATACGTATAAAGTAATGTTTAAGATTTAATCTAGAGAAAGTGGGACAGTTATTCTGTGCGAGGAGCATATGTGCATATAAAGTGGTCAGTTGGTCATGAAGGAAACTGAACCCAATCAACGCTGTAGACATTCTTCATAGTGATCAATAAATCGATAAGTTCTTGTCTGTCGATCTAAGCTTAGGTGGTTCAGTTGAAATGATCGAGATAGGTTCGTTGCATAATATTTTTGTTCGTTATATTGCCCAGTTATTTTTTGCTTGCTTGTTTTTTTTTTTTTTTTAGTATAATGTTCTCTTGTCTTTTGTTAGTTGAACTAAATGGATCTTTTCGAACGGAACACATTTTATTTCAGATTGTTTTTTTTTCTTATCTTTCTTTTAATCACAGTATCATTTATCAGGACTGAACTAGAAAAGGTATTCGTTTTTATCTCTCTCTAAAAAAAAATAAAGATAAATCTAAAGACGAACAGTTTAGATGTTCTCTTCTCTTTGGTGTGAAAGATCAATAAAATCCACGTATTAAAATCAACAAAGATTTAAAATAAATCAGCAGGACACTGATTTAAAAAAAAACCCTTGTAGTGCGTTCAACACTCATCACAATCTACCACTAGTAATAAGGCATTGTTCAGTATCAAATGAAGCATAGGAAACATCAATAAAACTATACAGTGAAACTGAGCATTGTATCTTCTCCACAAAAATAGAAAAATATTAAGATACTTAGGGTCACCTCACCTTGGTGTAGTGATAGAATCTTATTATTTCATTATATGCTCCAGGAATATGCCTTCGTGTCAAATATGGCGGAAATAAACAATACCAAAGATAATCTAGCATTCCACTTCGGTAGCGAAGTGTGTTAGAAAATTTACTGGATGATCTTACTATTGTAATCTTCTGTCAGACTAAATTCAATTGAGCAAATAACAATGAAGTTGGGCTAAATACAACACAAAATTTTTTATCGTGCTAAATGAGATAGGAATATTGTATTGCGTTAATATTTTAATGGTTAAAAATATATTAGCCTTAAAAATGTAAAGAATATATATATATATATATATATATATATATATATATATATATATATATATATATATATTCTCTCGTTGAAACAAACTTAGGTATTTCGGCTTGTAGTTGAACAAACCAATACCCAAGGAAAATTGAGGAATAAAAAAAATAAGAACTAAGAACATGAAATTGAGGCGAAAACAATCGTCCAGAATTCAAGCTCAGAGTCCAAAGAAGAAAAAAAAAACTTCAAAAACGAGCAAAAGTAACTACGTAAAGTGCTCAATACACGAAGTAGATCAAACTTAATATAAACTTAAAGAGCCAGATAAACCTACCTACGTTTCACCTAAACGGATCGTCAGGATAAAACTGGCCTTCATTGGTAGAAACTGCGGTAGCTGAAAAACGTAGTGTTTGTAATATTATAGAATTTAACTAGCTTTACACTTTCGATTTTTTGAAGTGTGTATTGAGCACGTGATCGCTTTTTAAATATAACCGTTTCCGGACAAGATAAATCTTATATATAAAATAAGTGTGTGTGTATGTGTGTATAAATTGTCCTCTAAATTACGTAAATATGAAAATAACACTGACATGTCATTTTATCAGATATATTTACCAAAATTTAACAAAAATATATTGAAATTCGAAAGAGTAAATGTATTCAATAAAATCACCATTGGCTTTAACCACGGCCTCTAGACAACTCCGGAATCCCCTGCAACTCTTTTGGACGGTCTCCTTGTTTAAGTTGGTGAATTCTGCTATAATCTTTGCCTTCAATTCATGTTTGGTGTAACAGTTAATTTTGTTGATCTTTCGCTCTAAACATAAAATTCCAAGGGTTGCAACCTGGGAAGTTATGAGTGATGAGGTCGCAGAAATTGTCTGACAGACATGTCTGGTTTCTTCTGCTTGTGTGGCATAGTGCAAAGTCTTGTTGCCAGACATAGGGTCTCCCAGCAGTCACCCTTTTGACTCAGGGCAAAATTACCTCCTCAAGGCACTCGATGTATGCCTCTGTGTTGACGCCCTGTGGGAAGAGGAATGCCTCTGTGTTGACGCCCTGTGGGAAGAGGAATGCCTCTGTGTTGACGCCCTGTGGGAAGAGGAATGCCTCTGTGTTGACGCCCTGTGGGAAGAGGAATGCCTCTGTGTTGACGCCCTGTGGGAAGAGGAATGCCTCTGTGTTGACGCCCTGTGGGAAGAGGAATGGAGTTATAACGTCGCTACTACTAGTTATCACTCCAAACACCATGTTTTTGACTGGCTATAACATTCAACTCTTTCCGAATCATCTGCACTGTCCTCAGATTGACACACAAATACTCTGAAATATTCATATTGGAGCTTCTTTCACAAATGCCAAGCAGTACGACCAGCCGTTTCCAAATTTCTGGTGAAGTGAATTTCATCATGGTGCTCTTTTTCTCACAGATGGCGCCCAACTGACCTTACTATACGGTGCAGTTGACAAAATTAAAAAAACAACGCGCATGTACGGAATTAAAAATATAAAATGCAAACAATTTAACCATCGCATAGTGAAGATATGAATAACGACAAAAGGTAAACTTTGTCTTAATTCATATAGTTTTTTACAGATATGTTTTATTTATACTTTTACACACGCACACACACACACACTTATATATATATATATATATATATGAAGAAAAATATACGGAAAAACAAAAATCCTAATATGCAATTATGCTGTTTTAATGTTAATTTAATGTCAACGTCAGACGTTTCGGTCTAATAAACCTTCTTCAGGACATATTTATAAAACATAATTAACATTAAACTATATTCAATTCAACATGAAAAGACGATGGACATAAGAGTAAGACTAATCAAAACAGAATATTGTGAAACGGAACGCTGACTTTTAAAAATTCAGTTATTCTGTTTTGATTAGTCTTACTTATATATCCATCGTCTTTTCATGTTGAATTAAATATCGTCTAATGTTAATTATGTTATATAAATAAGTCCTGAAGAAGGTTTACTAGACCGAAACGTCTGACGTTGACATTAAATTAAAATTAAAACAGCATAATTGCATATAAGAATTTTTTTTCCGTATATTTTTCTTCATACTGTCGGATCTATATCCATATATTTGCTTATATATATATATATATATATATATATATATATATATATATATGGAGAGAGAAACTGAGAGACAGACCGATAGACAGAGACAGATTAATACATAAGTACAAACATACACGGTGATTGCTGCCTCCTATTCTGATGCAAGTCACCTCTTCACCCTTCACATCAAGCATAATGATACCCGTCTCATTTCAGCGCCCATAGAATTTCAGATGACTGTTAGGACCAGCATTTGATTTCATAGGTATCATGCATATATGACAGATAATACATACATAGATAGTAAGTGTATTTTATAAACTTTGAATTTAGTCCTGGGTATGATGATAAACTACATCCGGCAGCGAGGCCTTTGATCGCGAACTGGAGTTTTTGAGGACCTCTTGCTCGCTCTTGTTTCCCTGACCCGTGGTGGTAGCACGTTACAATCCCAGGTATATGCAGATGGTGAAATCATCAAATAAAAACAAACCACTATGAAAGCATAAAAATATATCATTATAGTTGTTGTGGTAGGATCCACCTAATTTGCATAGTGGAGTACTGACCATATAAATATGGTTGGTACCGGGAAGAGAGGGAGGAATCAAGAGATTCAATCCAGAGATTCTGCCCGACTGCGACTCAGTCAACACATTCTCCAGGAACGGTCTTCCCAGGAATATACAAAAGACTATATGTAAATATTGTGTACACTTTCTTGTTTCAATACATTTTGTTCTAAGTACATTTTTGTTGCATTGTTATTCCATGCATTAGTCAAGTTTCAACAATAGTAAAAAATAACAGCAAAGCATTTTTATATAAAAAAATATTACCAACAATACATATTTATAGTAGAATGATCAACAATACATTTTATCTGTAGTTGAAAACATGCAATTACGCTCAAAATAATTTGGTTGAAGCCATAAAATTGTGTTCAAAATATTTACATTTCGCTAATAAATAACCCCGAGCTTGATATGCTGCTAAACAAAATCAATCAACCAAAGAAACAACATGAAAGATCTGTTTCATGGCATTAATGTATATAATATCCTAAATTTTCTAAAAGTTTGTTTGTTTAAAACTTAACGACCCATCGATCAGCAAGAGGTAATTTAAGGTCAAACAGTTGTTTTTTTTTTTGTTTTCTTTTTCTTTAAATAAGGTTGAAATGCTTTCAAAAAGGCTTTCCCTTACCTTTCCTTCTTTTTCGATGTTGTCTTGCTTCTTTTTTTTTTAAATTCACTGTTTTCGGAGGTGCGTTGTTCTTTGAAAATTACTCACCTGGCAAGTATCAAAGATCCCCCTTTCATCATCAGACACCAAATTGGAATTATATTTTATTATACAGATCAACTTTCCTAAGAAATGTCAAAAAAGAAATCAAACTGTATTCCAAAATATAACAAAATTACAATGTAAAACACGTAACTGACTTTAGTAATTATGTTCACAGAAATATATATGTGCACAAATGCTGTGTATCATCTAGCATGTATTGAATTGTGTACGCAGAATAACATATATAATATTTTTATTACTTTAAAGTTTCTCAGGAAATTAAATTCCGTCCTTAAATGACCCATAAGATGTTTATGCTATTGAAAAAACAAATCATTCAATCAATACTCTGAATTGAAAAAGAAAGTTTTTCTTGAAAGAATAATATTAATGTTTACGTTTACCATAAAGAATATAAAAAATAAAAGGAAAATCTATTTAAATATTATTTATAGAATATGTCATCACCTTCATTTTCAAAGACTTCAGCCCAACGGACTAGTTTCATACATCGTTTCTTTGCTTTTTCATACTGGAAGATAACGCGTTTTCTGTTTACCAAAGCTGGATATTCTCGACATAATTCTTCGTTTACCCGATCCAGTTGCTGAAAATTTACGACTACAGTGCTGGTCCATCATTCAGTCGCTCGAAATTTTCCAACAGGCAAACTCTTCTCACTAAGGCAAATATTTTAAAGTATCAAAATTGCACCAAAAAAACATGAAAATTAATTTTTCTAAAGTAATTTTTACTGACGAATCTCCTGTGACATTTGATAGATGAGCGAAAGGATGGATTTAGCCTGTGGCTAAAAGAAAGCAACAAGGAGGCGGTTGTGTTATGATATGAGCTTGAATTTCGACCAAACCATTACAGAACTATTCAAAATCAATGAAGAGTTAAACTGAACAGTGCTAACTATTGCGATTTCACGAACAAGACTTTCTTTGTAGGGTACAAGTCCCAACCTCAAGTGAAGTGTGTATTTATGCACAACAGATAATGGAATGGCCACCATCAAGTCCTGACTTGAATTTGATCGTAAGTCTATAGACAATTGTGAAGATGAAAGTATATGAAGGTGGCAAACAATATAACAGAAAAACAAAGCTATAGGAAGAAATTAAAACTACCATATCGGAAATTTAACCTGCTGAAGTAAAATATATATATATATATATAGAATTAGTGACTAATATATTACTGTATGTTACTGAGAAGAAGGGTCATTATATTAAAATGTAAATCATTCAAAAAATTATCATCCGTTTTTGTTATTTGTTCTATTATAGGTGTTGATCTATTTTGGATGATTTTATTATCTTTTTATTGAAGTAAAATGTGATTATTTGATTTTGCCTAATAACTTCTGACGGCAGCTTTTTGGAATGCATCAAATAACTTCTATAAAATATATTGATACTACCTAAAAGTTTAACTCAGGCTTTGTTTTGGCATCTAAATTGATCGTTTAAATTTAGACATTTTTTCAAACCAAATTTGAATTATTGAAGTTAATATGATTCGGTAATAAGTTCAGATAGGGTGTACACTGAAACAAAACAAAAAAATATTTCATTAGAAACGCAACACTCATTTCCCGTTCGCTTTATCAAAATGACAATCTCACCAGCACTCACACACATATAGTCCCACCAAATGCAACTCATAAATTTCCAGTAAGTTCTAGAACGTTACAGAAAGTTCTAAAGGGTTCATAATTTTTAGAAAGCTCCAGGAAGTTCCGTAAGGTCGCAGAAAGTTCTAGAAAACTCCAGAAAGTCATAGTACCATTATATTTATATATGGTTTTAGAACTTTCATATTTTTTTAAATAAATGGAATTAAACCATTATCCATTAAAATTTAACTGAAGTTAATCGAAATGTGATGCAGGAAATCAATTATTTGACAGGAAGGCAACATTTCATAAATCTAAACATAACTCTCTCTCTCTCTCTCTATATATATATATTTATTTAATGCCAAACATATATATAATATATATATATATATATATATATATATATATATATATATATATATATATATTCAGGCATGTTTGGTTAAATAATCTTCAAATATTATGCCTATTTATTTTTATTTAATCCTCTCAAATACATGGATCAATTTCGTATTTTAGCTTATTAATGAAGACGCCGTAGTATTTTTTATTTCTTTATTTTCCCCGGTACCTTTAATCTCAGCATAGATTATCTTCAGGGGTGAATTTTTAAGACAAAAAAATAATATAATTGATAGTTGAGAATTTTTGTTAATTGGGATTGAACGCGCTTTGTTAATTGAAAAATGAACGTTACCTAAGGGAGGTAATGTAATTTATATTTGTAAATTTCTTTCTTTTTTAAATTGCAATTCAAATATTTTAAAACATTGCTGTTATAAATGTAACATTAAAAAAAAATAAAATAGACGTTTTAAAACATTATTTCTATTCTCATAATTAATCTTATTTAGTATTGATTGTATTTTTATTATATAGAGGGCTTCAAGAATCTGAAGTTTTTGTTTTTTACTTTCATGATGGAGTATACTTGTATTGTCAATTAATATTTTTCTACGGTGATATTTTAGCACATCGTTCGAAGTGGAAAGAAGAAAAAAATTATACATTTTTCAAGAAGCATTTGTTTGAAAGTGAACGCAACCAAAATATTAAGCACCATAATTATATTAATTTGTTATTTGTATGCATTTAATATTAACTTATTAACTTCTAGTTTTATATATATATATATATATATATATATATATATATATATATATATATATATAGATAGATAGATAGATAGATAGATAGATAGATGCAGACAGACAGTCACACAGAGATAGATGCAAACCGACTAAAGATAAAATAGATGCATAGAAATCTGTGAAATGACTGAAGATAGATAGATAGATAGATAGATAGCTGTGAACTGGCAGAAGATGGATAGATAGATTGTTAAAGACTGAATATATACAGAGATGAATAGATCGAGATAGTTAGGTAGAGAGCTGTGATCTGACTGAAGATAGATGTAAACAGAATAAATACATATATATATATAAATATCTATTCATAATTCTCCATATTTACCATTCGCTGATAAACAAAATGAAATATAGATATAATACCTCAGTATAATTTTAATTATTCCTCTTTGTTAAAATAAACTGAAATACCAAACAGTTTGAGAGTGGGAAGTTCATAGGGTATTTTCGATCTCTCCCACTTGTCGAAATGAACACAAATGATGTATACGTTACATAAAACGTAAATATGTACCCGCGTCTGTAACAGTGTAACACTGGAGGCGATAAAAAGCAGACAAAATTTTAAAAAAAAAGAAAATAACTTTATTTTATATTTTTTCTCGGGAAAAAAGTATTAAGTGTATACCAAGAATAGGTTAATTCCGGACAGTATTCAGCGGAACTTGAAAACTTCTGGCATCCAAATATGACACAAGCCAAATATAGTAAACACCAAGCGTTGATAGAAAGGGAAACAGTACACATCCCTGTTTAATGTTAGAACATCTCAATTCAGTCAACGCCTTATACTGCGCCTAGTTAATTCTATGTGGCTTCGTAGGTCCCCTTGAAGTGATTTAATAGTTAGCAAGCTTGTCTCGCTGGAATAATTTCAACAGAATACCGAGTTCGATACACACTGGCCGCCCAATAATTTCGGCCTTTTACCACATTTAAACTTCGCTTAGAAAATAATCATTCTATGTGGCTTCGTAATCGTCGGCGGCTTACGGTCATATCCCGTTGAAACACCGGTTCTCGAACAATCTCCAAAGTTAAGAAACGTTGATCCTGGCCAGTACCTAGATAGGTAACCGCTTGGGAATACGCGTGTTATAACCCTTTGATGTGTGTTTTTTTTTTTTTTTTTAATGGCTGGCAATCAGAGATCCGAGTTCCAGTTCTAGTCGGATTCGTTATATTCACTTCAGCTCAACTAGCTTTGGAAAAGGCATGAATCTACCAATCCCTTCCACTCAGCCAAGTATGGGCTAAAATGTGTTGTGGTCTTGTTAGGGCCAGAAATAAAGACACAAAGAGAGGAATTGAGTTAAACAAATATATTAACAGAAACAGTAATACAAACGAGAGTGTTACAGCAAGAATGTTCGGTTCGACTGTCAGAGCTGAGTGATGGAAACTTTCCGCTCCCCAAAAGGCAGTACCTGCTCCTGATTATAGCTGGTAGAGTCCATGCATACATGGATAAATTACCATAACAAATTGTATCAGTAAATCATTATTATCTCAAAGAAAATTCTTACAATCTAAAAGTGTATGGCTTAAAAAATGTTGATAAGCCGTAAAAAACACATCAACCAATCAATCGTAATCGTTGACGAAGAACAGTAACGTTATAGACAAAACAATATTAGCTACTTTTACTCACATGGAGCATCGCTATTGGTCTGTGAAAGAATCGTACCGTGTCAGTCACCTCTTTGAGCTAAACGCATGCGAATTGAAGTTAATTTCGGTGACTCTATAATAGTATTGTATATGTTCTCTTGGGGCTTTCAAAATCCACAAATGAAAATCGAATTTGTCTGTCATATTATTATTCGGTGTACAACGTCCTTTCATATAAACAGATTTCACCGGTTGCGCCTGAGTCAATTCCCTGCCGGTCGATACTTCTGCTGGGTGTTGAACGTTGGCCGCCTCAGTCCGCGCCCTACGGTATGGACTGAGTTAGCGTTAGCAATCGTAGCGTTGGTTCGAACAACGGTAAAGCTGTGTCATAAAAGAAAAAGAAAAACGCCCTTTGCAGACGAAACAAAATAAAACAGGAAACTTTCTTGTCTGGTTTCAATATGGTTTATGCAGTTCTTTGTACTGCAAAATGAATCCTTCCCAATTTGATTTCTGTCGTGACAAAGTAAATGCATCAGAAGAGTATTACACGGCTACACAATGTGTGTCGAATGACACAGCTTTCAAGCTATTCGACCGTTATATTTACCAGCCTCCCCACGAGGTAGGGTGTGGCAGCAGGCCGAGTTTAATGTAGGGCAATCCGAGACCGTTGGCTCGGCCAAAAATTTCCCATAGATCCCGTATAAAACGGGGTCGGGTAGCTGTTTCTCGAGACGAGACTCTGTCTTTCGACATAGCGTCGTCTGGGAATCCTCTCTGTCCGGAAACAGAGAGTTTGACCAGCACAGCTGGAACAGGTCTATTCAACTGTCCCCCAAGCCTTCTCTCATACTAATCTTATAGTATGCGGAAGTGTCTAACATAGATTCTTTAGAGGGAGGACACCACAACAATTTCTATAGTGACACTTTATCAATCAAAGCTAATTCTCGGATAAGGCTCAAGTCTTGAGTTCTCTTTGGCAGCAAGTCATAGGGGCTTAGGTAACATTGCCGTCTCTAGTCGTCTGTTCTCCCCGGTCGCTCCAGTGGCCTGTTTTTATTGACCTCTGCCCAAGACCGTCATGGGGGCTGCCGTCTTTGGGGACTTTGTTGTCTAGCTTAGGAAAATTATCTCTCTAAATTTGGAAGATCCCTTTTCCTATGAGCAGTGGCATATAACTCATACTCTCTCTCCTTCATGCCTCGCACCATTACTTCTCAATGGGCATAAGTAAATCCTCTGTCTCTCTTGGTATCTCATCTAAGCCTTTCACCTCTATTGGCATTTTGACAAATCAAATTTTTAAAGCGCGTGGCTTAGATTCTAGTCATTAATTGTAATTATTTTTTTAATTTCAACAACGAATTTTCTCAGTCCTTGTTCTTGTTAATGCAATCTGATATTTACTAGCTGTTTCCTCTGACCGGCCAGTGGAAAACATTTACCCATATATCTCTTTCACCCTATCGCACTTATGAACCCCATACGTCCCTTTTCTATTTTAATTTCTTCAAGTAAGGTATAAAATTCTATTTCTTGACTTGTTTACAATATTCTGCTTTTTAACAGGCAAAATAAATCAGTTCCTATAACTTTTGTTTTCGTCTCTTAAAATTCCAAAATATTATTTTTTCAATCGACTTCCTTTCCAGAAAATACCATAAATTAATTTATCTGTTTTTGTTTTGTTTAGTAAATTTCTTTCGGCCGACTCTGAGTGCTCTTCTACCGACTTTCTCCCACCCCTTGTGGTGTTAAATTCTCCAGACGGCTTTTTCGGTAATATCTTCCTTGGAACAATAAGTCCAATCCCTGCTTTACAATTTGTGTCATGAGTTATATTTCAATTCAAATCATTTTTCATCGTGTTTCAAGTTATATTTTAACTTTAACGCTTTTTCTTCCAGTTCCCAGCTTATATCTTAGCCATTTTACTTCAATTTACTAGTGTGACATAGTGTCGCACATAGCGATCATGACTCTCCACACATTCCTATCATATTTGGCTCTCATCCGTTTCCCCGCGTTCCACCATCTATTCACACAGTCTTGTCAGGTAAGTGGTTCGCATATGGTTCGCACCCCATGTCTCTCTTTTTCTTAATATAACCCGTAAGGGTTAAGTTTTTAAAGCTCTCCCCACTCATTGTCTCCAAGGAATTTCAGCTGCATTTTTTGATCCTGTGTATCTGTTCTTTCTGTTGCCATTTTCTTTAAGACTTCCTTGTTGTTTACTCACTCCGTCTATAGAATTCTCAGCATCCTTCTGTAGAACCACATTTCTCCTGCCTCTAGTATTTGTCCTCTTGTGGAGATTGTCCGACATTCACTGCCATATAAGAATGCACATAACAACCTAAAACTATTTTATTTTATTTGTAATGAAATTCTTCCGTTTCTGAAAAATTTGCTTAGTTTTTGGAAGACATCTTTCGCTAGCCCAATGCATGTTCGGTTCACGGTGTCACATATTCTATCCTCTGTTTAAATGCTTTACGATAATTAAACTTCGCCACCAGCTTCATGTTTACATCTCCATTTTATAGCTCACAATCATCGCCTTTTTCTCTTGCTGATGACCATATATTTTATTTTCTTCCAATTTTCTTTCTATACATAGTTCTTGCTACAAGCAGGTTGCACACGTTTCTCATCGCTACCTTTCTAAATAAAAGCCCTCACCTTGCACAGGTGACACAAAACTGATCCTAAGAACCTTCAATTAACTTTTCTTCCAGTGCTCATCAGATTAAAACCCCATTGAGCAATTATGGGCATTTTTAGGCTTCTTTCTTTGTTGTGGCCTTGTTAGAGCCAGAAATAAAAACAAAAGAAAGGAATTGAGTTAAATAAATATATTAACAGAAATAGTAATACAAGCAAATACAAACGAGAATGTTACTCCATAAGTGTTGTGGTGTTCTCCCTCTAAAGAGTCTATGTTGGACTCTTTCGTCTACTAAAAAATTAGTAGGAGAGAAGACCTTGGGGGAACAGTCGAATAGATTGAACGCTGGGTCATCCAACACAAACTCACTAGTCGTGCAATACTCTTCTGTTGTATCTACTGTTTAATATATGATATATCTGTAATACTTGTTTTGTTATTTCTTTAACCACTTACAAGGTCACAACAAAAAGGCAGTACCTGCTCCTATTTATAGTTAGAGAGTCCATGCGTGCGTGGATAAATTGCCATAACATTCCCGAATAAAATACAATTCAAGAATATTAAATTATAATTTTTAAAATATAGAATTATAAAATATATTTCAGTTATAGATATTCCTCAAATGTGTTTCATATATATAAAGGATGTTTCAATAAGTTGGACCGATTTTAAATGTAGATTAAATTTAAGCATCTAATGATTTTTAACTTCTTTCAGATTTTGCGGATATTTGGGCGATATTATTTTTCAGACATAATTACCATGACTTAAATAACATGATCCAATAGAGAAATAAATAAATTTTCACCAATATCACTGATTTATTTACTGCTGACTTTGATCCGTCTTAATGAAACACCCTTATATATATATATATATATATATATATATATATATAAATCCGTCTTAATGAAACACCCTTTACTAATGCAAGGATATCTATTTCTCCTAGGCTCAATGAAACAGCTAATCTTCATCAAGTGGAAATGAGCTATACGTTGTTAGGTGGCTCTTCTTTTTTTTGCCATATCCTTTCAGAACATAGGCGACCATGGCTCTCCACCCCTTCTATCCCTTGCAGCTCTAAACAAGTTCCTTTCCTCTGCTTCCTCCTCCAGACCACGTTCTTTCATCCATTTGCTTAATCCCGCCAGGTATGTTACACATTGTTTTCCCTTGTCTCTCTTTCCCTCTATTCGACCCGTGAGTATCAAATTCTCCAGACCCTCCTTCCTCATTATGTGTCCCAAAAACTGCCTCTTCCTGATGT